TCCCCCACCTCCTCCTCCCCCTCCTCGTCCACGCGCGGCCCCAGAGAGGGCCCCGGCCGTCGACCGCGCTCCTCCCCGGGTCGACCGCGCTCCTCCCCGGGTGGGGGGGGGAGCAGCCCGTCGCCCCCGGGGCTGCCCCTCGGCGTGCCGGCCCCCGGGGCCCAGCAGAAGGGGCCCCCCGGGAGGCCTCGAGCGGGGGCCCGACTGCAACGCCGACGTCCCCCCAAGACTGATGCGGTGGAGGTTTTTCTCTCTTCGGGGGCAAGGCCCGCGTACTCAAAGTTCATGCAATTCTGCGCGAGGCACGCCTGGCAGCCGCCGCTGCATCTGCGGCAGCCTTCGACCTGCGCGCCGCCGCCCCACGGCCCTCGCATCCGCCACCGAGGCAAACCCGTGGGCTGCCTTCGAGAAGGAACCCAGGGTCGCGGGACCGACGGGCGGCCAAGCGTGGGCCACCCACCTCGCCTTGAAACAGTAAGGACTGGGCCAGGGCCTGGGCCCCCAGGAAGACGTTCCTTACCCAATGCCGCCGCCGTATTCGTTCGGCGGAAAGGGACACTGGATAAGGAACCATTGGATAAGGAATCCAGGGTCTGGAAGCCAGTGAAAAGCCAATCGTGGAGTGGCCATGGATATCACCGCCGCCCTCATCAGATAAGGAAGCCTCCGGGGTCTGAAGCCTCCTGGGCGCATTCCTGAACCAACGCCCCCACCGTGTTGTTCGGCGGATCTACAAAACCCCAGAGGTCCCTAAGAAGACCCCTAGAAAGCCCCACGAAGCCCCCAAGAGACCCCCGGGAGGCCCCAAGAGGTCCCCGCAAGGCTTCCAAGCGGCCCCCAAGAGCTTCCCAAGAGGCCCCAAAACTACCCCCAAGAGGCCGCCGAGAGCGCTCGTCGTCGTCGTCGTCGTCGTCGTCGTCGTCGTCGTCGTCGTCGTCGTCGTCGTCGCCGTCGTCGTCGTCGTCGTCGTCGTCGTCGTCGTCGTCGTCGTCGTCGTCGTCGTCGTCGTCGTCGTCGTCGTCGTCGTCGTCGTCGTCGTCGTCGTCGTCGTCGTCGTCGTCGTCGTCGTCGTCGTCGTCGTCGTCGTCGTCGCCAGTCAGGGTCGGCGGCACCGGCCGTAAGGCCTTCGCCATACGTGGGAGGACCCTTCTATGTTTACCAACATGCTGCGCCTCGGCTTCGCACAGTCGGCGCGAAGATCCATGCTGGGGCCAGTCATTCCTGCAGTCGATCACCCCACCAGTCTCGGGAGCGGCCAAGAGGGGGGTGTCCGAGAGGGGGGGGTGCAAATCATGACCGGCGGCATGTGCGCGGCCCAGCGGGGGGGACAGGGACGTAATGAAATAAGAAGAGGCGCCATGAAATCTGGGGAGATATCATGGCCCGCGCCATGATATCCACCCCCCCCTAGTCATCACCCCCCTCTTTTCCGCCCCCGACACCAGTCGCAGGCCGAGATCGCGGAAGAGCACGGGGCCTGCACAACGTCGTGCTGGCGGAAAATCCGGGACCCTCGCCTGCCCACCGCCACGTGCCCCGCCACCCCTGCGAGGCCGCCGCGACGCGAGCGCGCAAGGCCCACGCCCGCCAGCCCTTACAAAGCCCAGGGCTCGCTGGGGCGAAGTCGGGCACGTCCCCCTACAGGGGGGCGTTGCACGGGAAGTTTGAAAAAGGTCGAAAAAATGCTCCAAAAATGTTCAAAAATTGACAGGAAAAAAAACAAAACATCGTCCCCTGACTATATGTTTTAACTATTGTTGAATATTCCTCCTGTAGAGGGACATGCCCGACCTAACGCTAGGGACTGGTTCCCCCCCAAAACGACGAAAACCCTTCCAAAACCCTCCCGAAACCTTCCGGAAACCCTCCCAGAACCCTCTCCGGAGGGCTTTCGGAGGGTTTCAAGAGGGTTTCGGCTGTTTTTGAAAGGAAGCCAATCCCTAGCGAACCCTGGACTGTCTGAAGCCAGCCTCCGGCGGACCCCAGACACGCACAACCGCCATCGCGGAGCGGCCACTTGCGGCCGAGCACCGCCACCGCCGCCGTCGCCGCGGCCGCCGTGGCGGCCATTCGGAGCAGGGCGAGTGGAGATAGCGGCAGCTCAAAATCGGTCACCGAATCCCCCCCGGGATCCCAACGCGGTCCGGCCAGTTGCGGCGAGGGGGGCCCCCGAAAGCAGGCCACGCTCCCCGTTGTCTCAACTCGCCCTCCTCTGAGCCATCGTGGGAGAAGGAGGAGGAGGAGGAAGAGGAGGAGGAGGAGGAGGAGGAGGAGGAGGAGGAGGAGGAGGAGGAGGAGGAGAGGAGGATGAGTGGGGGAGGAGGAAGGAGGAGGAGGAGAGTAGGTATAGGAGGATGAGGTAAGGAGAGGGGATTAGGAGGAGGAGGACGGCGCGCCGAGCCCTGGGCAGCATGCCGGCCATCTGCGAGGCCATCATCGCCTGCTGCATCGCCGCCGCCTGCTGCAGCACCGCCGCCGCCTGCGCCTGCTGCGCGGCGGCCGCCTTGCAGCAGGGCCACCGGCCGGCCGGCCGCTCGCCGTCCGCCCCGGGGCCCCTTCCGAGCGGCGGAGCTCGGCGGGGCCCTCGAGCAGCGGCCCTCGGCGCCCCTGCGGACGGCGGCCCTCGGCGGCTGCCCTCGGTCGCCCTGGGCGCAGTCGGCGTCGTCGTCGTCGGCGTCGTCGTCGTCGTCGTCGTCGTCGTCGTCGTCGTCGTCGTCGTCGGCGTCGTCGTCGGCGTCGTCGGTCGATCGAGCGGAGTCTCGCGGCGGAGGCGGGCGCCGCGGCCCGCTCGGCGCGCGGGACGCGCACGCGGGTGGTCCAGAGCAGCTGCGCGACGCGCAAGCCTCCCATGCAGCGGAGGCCAGTTCGCAAGAAACCTTCCGCAAGAAACCCAACCCTGAGACCCCAGGACGTCCACTGACTTTTTGGTGTGGGAACGTCGCGCTTCCCGTCGCAAAACCATCGAAGCCCAAGAAGCCCAGGGCACCCTGGAGGCAAGCAGGGTGTCTCTTGGCATGGGCTGCCACTGTAAGCCAAGCAAGTGCCCGAGCACGAGCCCGAGCCCGAGACCGGGGACCAGAGCCCGAGCGCAGGCCCGAGCGCGCGCCCGAGCCCGAGCAGACTCGGCTGTAGCATGGCGAGCGCAGCTGCCGCGCCGATTCCGCGCCCTCTGGGGACGCCTCGAGCGAGAGACCGCGCGGAGGCCCTCTGCTGCCGTCTGGAGCCCCCCAGGGGCCCCGCCACCTCTCCCTTCGAACGCCCTCCCGGCGCCCCGACGCCCGCTTCGACGCCCTCCAACGCCTCCCCCCCGACGCCCTCGCCGAGGCCCTCCGAGGCCCTCCCGAGGCTGCCGCGCCTGCGCCTGCTGCTGCGCAGGCGGCTGCTGCGCCGGCTGCGGCGCAAGCTGCTGCGCGAGCTGCTGCGCGGGCTGGGCGCTCGGGGCGGTCTGCGCCTGGCCGAACACGCGGTCCACCTGGGGCGCTCGTCGTCGCTGTCGTCGTCGTCGTCGTCGTCGCCCTCGTCGTCGACGTCGTCGTCGTCGTCGCTCTCAACGTCGCCCTCGTCGTCGTCGTCGTCGTCGTCGTCGTCGTCGTCGCCCTCGTCGTCGCCCCCGTCGTCGTCGTCGACGTCGTCGTCGTCGTCGTCGTCGTTGTCGTCGTCGCCCTCGTCGTCGTCGTCGTCGTCCTCGCCCTCGTCGCCCTCGTCGCCCTCGTCGTCGTCGTCGTCATCGCCCTCGTCGTCGCCCTCGTCGTCGTCGTCGTCGGCGTCATCGGCGTCGTCGTCGACGTTGTCGCCTGCGTCGTCGTCGTCGTCGCCCTCGTCGTCGTCGTCGTCGTCGCCCTCGTCGTCGTCGTCTCGTCGGCGTCGTCGTCGCCCTTGTCGTCGCCGTCGTCGTCGTCGGCGTCGTTGTCGTCGTCGGCGTCGTCATCGTCATCGTCGTCGCCCTCGTCGTCGTCGTCGGCGTCGTCGGCGTCGGCGTCGGCGTCGGCGTCGGCGGCGGCGGCGTCTGCGTCTGCGTCGGCGTCGGCGTCGGCATCGGCGTCGGCGCGTCGGTGCTAACGACGACACCGACGGCGGCGGCGCGGTGTCTGTAGTGGTGGCGGCACGAGGATGGCCATCTGCACGCCTGCTGTCCTCGTCGTCGTTGTCGTCGTCGCCCTCGCCGTCGTCGTCGTCGTCGGCGTCGTCGTCGTCGTCGGCGTCGTCGTCGTCGGCGTCGTCATCGCCTTCGTCGTCGTCGTCTTCGTCGTCGCCCTCCTCGTCGTCGTCGTCGCAATCGTCGTCGCCCTCATCATCGTCGTCCTCGTCGTCGTCGTCGCCCCCTTCGTCGTCATCGTCGTCCTCGTCGTCGTCGTCGCCCCCTTCGTCGTCGTCGTCGTCCTCGTCGTCGTCGTCGTCGCCGCCGTCGTCGTCGTCGGCGTCGTCGTCGTCGTCGTCGCCTTCGTCGTCGTCGTCTTCGGCGGCGTCGGCGTCGGCGTCGGCGTCGGCAGCGTCGGCGCCGACGACGACACCGACGGCGGCGGCGTTGTGATGTTTTTTGGTGGTGGCGGCACGCCGAGGGCCATCTGCACACCTGCTGCCCTCGTCGTCGCCGTCGTCGTCGTCGTTGTCGCCCTCGTCGTCGTCGTTGTCGCCCTCGTCGTCGCCCTTGTCGTCGTCTGTGTGGTCGTCGTCGTCGGCGTCGTCCTTGTCGTCGTCGTCGTTGTCGTCGTCGCCCTCATCGTCGTCGTCGCCCTCGTCGTCGCCCTCGTCGTCGTCGTCGCCGTCGTCGGCGTCATCGGCGTCGTCGTCGTCGTTGTCGCCCTCGTCGTCGTCGTCGTCGCCCTCGTCGTCATCGTCATCGTCGGCGTCGTCGTCGTCGTCTCCCTCCGGGGCACGGCCCGCGCGGGAGGCGTGCAGAATCGGGAGGGGCGACGCCTTGCGAGCTCCCCCGCTGGAGCCGCAGGTGGAGCTCTCTGCGGGGCACGATCTGCGTGAAAGGTGTGCCGAGCTGAGCAGGGCGGCGCGCTGCGGCGTCCTCCGCTGGGGCCACAGGTGGAACTCCCCCTCGGAGACACGTCCCGTGCGAGGGGTGCGCCGAAATCGGCGCGGCGCCGCCACGAATCCTCCCCCTGGGGCCGCAAGGGGAGCTCCCTGCTGGTGAACGATCCGTGCGAGGAGTGTGCCGAAGTGGGCGCGGCGCCGCCATGCGAACCCTCGCTTCCTCTGTGGCCGCAAGTGGAGCCCCCTGCGGGAGCACGATCCGTGCGAGGAGGAGGAGGAGGAGGAGGAGGAGGAGGAGGAGGAGGGGGAGCAGGAGGGGGAGGAGTAAGAGGGGAGGAGGAGGAGGAGGAGGAGGAGGAGGAGGAGGAGGAGGAGGAGGAGAGGAGGAGAAGGAGGAGGAGGAGGTGCCGAATGGGCGCGGCGCCGCCATGCGAACCCTTTTTCTGGGGCACAGGCAGAGCTTCCTAGGGGAGCACGATGCGCAGCAGCGGTGTGCCAACATGGGCAAACGGACGAGGAAGAGGAGGAGGGGGAGGAGGAAGAGGTGGAGGAGAGGAGGGAGAGGAGGAGGACCAGTGCAAATCCAAGACGCATCGACGACGTTGCAGTGGACCCTCCCTCCAAGTTCACTCTTCATAGGTCCCTACAAGGACCCATGCTCATTGCGGAAAGCGACACATTGAAGAACAGCCGTCTGAGAATCTTCAATCGTGACAGAGCACCATTCCCGCGACTTCGACGCCACGAATCAATGTGACGATCAATCCTAAATTGTGTCAGAACAGCATTCCTGGGTCTTCAACACCACGAATCAACGTGACTGCTGCGTCCTGGCAATCCTATGTCGCGCCAGAGCACAAGTCTTGAGACTTCAACCATACGGATCCGTAAACCGACTGCAAACTGTTTTAAATGAATGCGCACGGCGCTAAGGCAAGAGCGACCATGTCAAACTGGACCGAACCAGCGGCTCTCAATTCTGGAAAATTCTACAAACGTTCAAGACGACAGTACACGGCGTTCAGGCGAGAGCCACATATTGAAAATCAGCTGCTCTCAATTCTTGAACTTTTGCTCATTGCAAGTTTCACTAACAGAATCGTTGAGAAAGTCTCAGGCGAAACGCATGGCCCGCCCTACCAACACGTCTGGAGGTGCGACAGGGAGGAGTTAACCTCTATGTGTCTATAGGAAAGCCCAATCGTGAAACCCGCAAATTATTTCGACGCCATCATTGACGGACTGGGGTCCCACCAATAATGTACAATAGCTATTTATCCGCGGCACGCGCCGCGCGACGACGACGACGACGACGACCACGACGACGACGACCACGACGACGACGACCACGACCACGACGACGACGACGACGACGACGACGACGACGACGACGACGACGACGACGACGACGACGACGACGACGACGACGACGACTACGACTACGACCACGATACGACTACGGCTACGGCTACGGCTACGGCTACGACTGCGAGTAGTTAGCCACCAGAACTACGACTAAGATTACGACTACAAATACAAGTACGAGCATGACTACGACCCCGACGACTGCGACGACGCAGGAGGAGGAGGAGGAGGAGTAGGCGGAGGAGTTGATTCCCCGCCGAGAGAAACAGGGGGGGGTCCTCGCTCCTCAGGTGATTGCTGAGGAACAAGGATGGGGGAGGAGGAGAAGGAGGAGGAGGAAGAGGAGGAGGAGGAGGAAGAGGAGCAGGAGAGAAAGTGAGTGAGACGCGCGCCGCTGCGGATCTAAAACGAGGACAGAAGAGCACAGGAGGTCTGGGAGAAGCAGGGGGGAGGAGGGAGAGGAGGAGGACGAGGAGGAGGAGGAGGAGGAGGAGGAGGAGGAGGAGGAGGGAGGAGGATGGGCGAAGAGGAAGCGATGATGAGGAGAAGAGGAGGATGAATAGGATTGAGGGGAGGAGGAGGAAGGAAGCGGAGGAGGAGGAGGCGGAGGAGGATGGAGATGGGGATGGAGGATGAGACAAAGAGGAAGAGGAGGGGAGAAGAAGAGGAGGAGGAGGCGGAGGAGAAGGAGGAGAGTGGAGGAGAGGAGGAGGAGGAGGAGGAGGAGAAGGAGGAGGAGGAGGAGGAGAAGCTCCCAAAGAGCCCAGATCTTCGAAGCGGCGTCGACGACGAGGATCGGCTACACGCAAGAGTGGCCCTGGGTAAGAGCGACCTTTGGTGCGCGGCTTTTGGGGGGCCGCGGGGGGACCAAACACAAGAGCGGAAGACGCCACTATCGTATCGCGTTCGGCGATCGGGGGACACCAATGGGCCCGCGCCAAAGGTCACTCCGGATAATGGTCACTCTCACGTGTAGCCGAGAAGAAAGGAACGAGCCTCGTCAATGTCCATGTCGGCCGGCTCCTTGGCAGTCGCCTGCGACTCAAGACGCTTCACCTCTGCGACCCGCTGCTCATAAGAGGTCTCCTTCTCCTTGGTGAACGCCTGGATTCGACGCATCATCTCCTCCTCCATCGCGCTCATCTTCTTCTTCTCCTGCTTGGAGGGGGGAGGAGAGGGAGGAGGATGGAAAAACGAGGATCGAAAAGCGCGATCTTGGCCTTTCTGCTCCCACGGGGCCAAACAGAGGAGGAAGACGGCCAGAGCAGCGCGAGCGGCCAGAAGAAGCCGAGGGAGGAGGAGGAGGAGGAGGAGGAGGATTAGGATTAGGGGGAAGAGGAGGAGGAGGAGGAGGAGGAGGAAGAGAAGGAGGAGGAGGAGGAGGAGGAGGAGGGAGGAAGATAGAGGAGGAGGAGGAGGAGGAGAAGGAGGAGGAGGAGGAGGAGGAGGGGGTGGAGGACAATCTAGGTGCGCTCGCGTCATATTTGACATCCTACCCCTCCCTCCCATCCCTTACCATGGCGCAGATCCCCTCTCTACTCGCGCAGTCGGATGTCAAGCAGGACGATGATCCCGAAAGGGTACGCGATGCATTGTAGAGCGCGGCATGGCATGGCGTAGAAGAGCACCGCGAAGCGTAGTATCAACCTGGCATTGCATTGCATGCCGTGGCATGGCACGGGAAATGACGCCAGCGCTGCAGCGGGTTCACGAGTCGAAACGAGCGGAAGCGCGGAAATGAGGCCAGCGCTGCAGCGGGAGCACGATTCGGAACGAGCGGAAGCACGGAAATGAGGCCAGTGCTGCAGCCCGAAAATGAGGCCGGCGCCTCAGCGAGAGCAGCATTTGGGGAAAAAATGCAAGCGACAACCCAACTCCGGGGAAGGCTTCCCGGGCGCCAGAAGCAGAAATTCAGCATTTTCAAAACACAAAAAAAAAAAATGTATTGGAATGGCCTTTTTTCGGCGCCGCCTCGGAACTCGATTTTCCGGCGCCGGCCGGAACCGGCTCCGGACCTGGCCCGGGCGCCGGCCCGGGCGCCGGCTCGGGCGTCCGGCCCGGGCGCTGGCTCGGGCGCCGGCCTGGGCGTCGGAATGGGCCCGGGAGGCCTCCCGGGCGCCAGAAGAAGAAATTCAAGAAAAATGTGTATTAGAATGGCCTTTTTTCGGCCCCGCCTCGGAAATCGATTTTCCAGCGCCGGCCGGAACCGGCTCCGGACCCAGCCCGGGCGCCGCCCCGGGCGCCGGCTCGGGCGTGCAGCCGGGGCGCCGGCGGAAATGATGCCAGCGCTGCAGCGGGAGCACGATTCGGAACGAGCGGGGCCCGAAAATGAGGCCGGCGCCTCAGCGAGAGCAGCATTTTGGAAAAAATGCAGGCGAAAACCCAACTCCGGGGAAACCTGTGTGTAAAAAACAGTACGCGGGGGGGGGGGGGCGAATATTCCCAAGACGTCATCAGGGGAAGAGGGAGAGTAGTATTCAGAAATTGAGTAATTGGGGAGTGGGATGGAGGGGCGGCGGGGAGAAGTACGATAGGAGGAGGAGGAGGCGGACGGAAGAGAGGGGGAGGAGGAGAGGAGGATGAGGAAGAGAAGGAGGAGGAGGAGGAGGAGGAGGCTGCGGACCTCGCACGCCATGGGCGCCAAGCAGGTGCTGGGCCCTGGCACTCCGAAGGTTGGGCTGGGCGGTGGCTGGCGGGGCAAGCAGGGCCGCCGCGGCCGGCCACTCCACCCGTCCAGCGATATGATTGCTTCAATCCTCCCCCTCCCCCTGCTCCTCCTACTCCTCCTCCTCCTCCTCACTCCTCCTCCTCCTCCTCCTCCTCCGCCTCCTCCTCGCTCCTCCTCCTCCTCCTGCTCCTCCTCCTCCTCTCCTCCTCCTCCAATAAAATCCTCCTACGTCCTCCTCCTCCTCCTGCTCCTCCTCCTCCTCCTCCTCTTCCTCCTCCGCGTGCGACATGTACTGAAAGCACCCTCGAAGGCTTGATCAGGACGTGCCCGAGGGAATTTCGAAGCAAGTTCCATCGATGATCCTGGGATTTCCTGAGTGCTGGACGGCACTCCAAGTCCTCATTTGAAGTACCCGGGCAGTTCAAGACCCCGAGCCCAATCAAGCGTGGGTCAAACGTGACCCCACTCCGATTTGCTCCAAGAGGCCTGTCTAGGAGACCAACAAAGCTCAAGAGCGCCGAGTGGCACTCTCGACTTCAGATCCACGGACGGCCTGCAGCAAACGAGACTCATGCAAGCCGTGGCGGGACCGAAGGAGCAACTACCGGAACCGATGTCCAACAAAATGTCGTGAGCGAATTCGAACCCAGCTCGAAGCCGTGCGCTCGTCCTACCCCTCCTCGCGGAGGTGGTCTTCACCCGTTCGCGCCACGCCGCACGGTTCCTCCAACTCCCCATCATCACACTCATCCCCATCATCATCCCCATCATCCTCATCATCATCAGCATCAGCAGCAGCATCATCCTCATCCTCATCCTCATCCTCATCCTCATCCTCCTCATCTTCATCCTCGTACTTATCCTCAGCATCATCATCATCAGCAGCAGCATCAGAATCATCATCCTCCTCATCATAATCAACATTATTATCATCATCCTCATCATCGTCATCATCGTCATCATCGTCATCATCATCATAACCATCATCATCATCATCATCATCATCATCATCATCATCATCATCATCATCATCATCATCATCATCATCATCATCATCATCATCATCATCATCGGCAGCATCACCACCACCATCCTCATCATCATCATCATCATCATCATCATCATCATCATCATCATCATCATCATCATCATCATGTTCATCATCATCACCATCGCCATCACAATCGCCATCATCAGCATCATAATCATCATCAGCATAATCATCAATCATCAGCATCATCGTCATCGTCATCGTCATCGTCATCATCATCATCATCATCGTCGTCATCATCATCAGCATCATCATCATCATCAACATCATCACCACGACCACCATTACGACTGTTCGCATCCTCTTCCCACCTCCCCCTCCTGCCCCTCCCTCATTCATCTTTCTTCACCTCCTCTCCAACTTCTGCCTCCTCTTCCCCCTCCATCCTTCTCCACATCCTCCATCCTCCTTCCCTCCTCCCGCCTTCTCCCCTTGGGAGGAAGCGGACACGTCCTGTTGGGCCTTCGCGTCACCGCCATCCGCCGGCGCCGGCGTCGGCTGTCTCAGGTCCTCGCCAGCGAGAACGAGAAAGAGGAGGAGTAGCAGGAGGAGGAGCCGAATCTATGAGATTCGGAAAAAAAGGACGAGGAGAGGGAGAAAAGGATCGGAAAGAGGGACGAGGGAGAAAAGGAAAAGGGAGGAGGATGAGGAGAAGAAGGATGAGAAGGAGGAGGAGGAGGAGGAGGAGCAGGAGGAAGAGGAGGAGAACGAGGAGGAGCAGGAAGAGGACGAGAAGAAAGAGGACGAAGACGAGGAGAAGGATCGAGGAGGAGGAGGGCCAGAGAGGAGGGTGGAAGCGAGAGAAGGAAGAGGTCGAGGAGGGGGGGCCAGTGCAAACCCAAGACGCATCAGCGATGTTGCAATGAACCCTGCCGCCGAGTTCCCTCTTCATAGGTCCCTACATGACTTGATTGCCATTGCGCGACGTGCCGCAATGAAAGACAACTGTCTGAGAATCTTCAAATGCACCAAAACACAATTCCTGGGACGTCACAAGCCTCGAATCAACGTGACTGTTGCGTCCTGGCAATCCTAAATCACGGAAGAACACCATTCCTGGGATTTCAGCCATACGAACCCTTGAATATGCTGCTAACTTTAAGGGAGTGCGCGCGGCGATTAGCCGAGAGCCACATTTTGAAAATGTGCCGCCCTCCATGACTTTCGCCGCCCTGCCGACACGTCTGGTTGCGAGGATTATATAAGGAAAATGACGAAGAGGGAGGAGAGGAAGGTGAAAAGGGAAGGAGGGGAAGGAGGAAACCGCGTCTGGCCTCTTGAAGGACATCCCGTGACTCCCAGGGGCCTCCAGGAGGCTCTGGGAACTGGACTCCTACGGGCATCAGGGGACTCTGAGGATCCGACTGCAACAATTAAATAGCACGCGGATCCAACGGGTCAACTCACCGGCACTTCACTTAGGAGGGCAGGAAGGAGGAGCACAGCAGGGGAGTAGGAGAGGAGGAGGAGGAGGAGGAGGAGGAGGAGCGGAGGAGGAGGAGGAGTAGACGGAGGAGGATGAGAGTAGAGGAGGAGTAGGAGGAGGAGGAGGAGAGAAGGCGAGGAGGAGGAGGAGGAGAAGGCAGAGAGGAGGAGAGGAGGAGGAGGATGAGGAGAGTAGGGACAAGGAAGAAAAAAACAAAAAGGAAAAAAAAACAAAAAAAGGAAAACAAAGGAGAAAACCCAGGGGAAACAAAAAAAATAAAGGAGGATGAGGCGGAGGACGAGGAGGAGTGAGGAGAGGAATGAGTGAGGAGAGGAGGAGGAGGAGTGAGGAGGAGGAGGAGGTGAGGGAAGGGAGGAGGAGGAGAGGGATGATGAGGAGGAGGCGGGAGGGAGGGGGGAAGGGGTAGGGCGGAAGGAAGGGAGTGTAGGAGGAGCAGCGGCAGCAGCAGGGGAGGAGGAGGGAGGAGCCGGATCGGAGATGCTTGAAGGGCGAGCAGTGGCTAGGCCAAGATGCTTTCGGGCACTCGCGCACGGCTCCGCCGCACGGGCTGGGCCAAGATGGCCTCAAGCGACTGGGGTAACAAAAATGCACCGGCACCGCTGCTCCCTGGACCTGCCCTGTGGTGCGTCCCGACCAGAATTTCGAAGAGAATCCAGCCGTGGCGACGCGGTATCTCCAGGACGAGCAGCGGTATCTGCATCGCTTCCTCCACTAACCCTGACCGTGCGGCCTAGTCCGAGATATCCCCAGACGATCCTGCTGGACTGCAGGAGGCCACCGTGCACCGCTGGCCCGGGAGGCGAGCGTCGATGAAGGCGGCGCGCGCCTGCAGGAGGACGGGTGTGGGCGCGCCTGGAGCGCCAGCTCGCCGCACTCGTCGGCGGAGGAGCGAGCCCAGGAGCGGGCGAGCGAGGAGGTGGAGGCGCAGCTCGGCTCAGCTCAGCTCAGCCCCTGGAGGCCGCTCGCCGCACAGGGCCGTGCCAGCAACGGGGCGAGCCCCTCGCAGGACACCGCCAGAAGGCGCGCCCGGGGGAATGCGGGTTGCGGCTGTGCCCAGGAGCGGGAGGAAGAGGAAGGGGAGGGGGGCGAGGACGAGAAAGGAGCGCGAGAAGGGAAGGGACGAAGATGAGAGCGACGACAAGGAGGAGAAGGAGGAGGAGGAGCAGCAGCAGCAGCAGCAGAAGGAGAGGTCCTCGACCATCCTCGCCAGGCTGTCCCGGTCCTCGGCCACCTTCGCCACGACTGGCACCGCCTTTTGGCTGGCAGGGCATCGTCGTCTGGGTCATGGTCTTCCTCCGTCTCCTCCTCCTCCTCCTCCTCCTCCTCCTCCTCTCCTCCTCCTCCTCCTCCTCTCCTCCTCCTCCTCCTCCTCCTCCTCCTCCTCCTCCTCCTCCTCCTCCTCCTCCTCTTCCGCTTCCTCCTCATCATCATCATCAATCCTCCTCCTGCTCTTTCCTCCTCCTCCTCTTCCTCCTCCTCCTCCTCCACCTCCACCAGCCTCCCTCCTCCGCCTCCGCATCCTCCGCCTCCTCCACCTCCTCCGCCTCCTGCCTCCTCCTTCTCCTCCTCCTCCCCTCCTCCTCCTCCTCTCATCCTCCTCCTCCTCCTCCTCCTCCTCCTCTTTGTTTTTTGAATGCAACATTCATACCTCTGAAAGTGACAGCTTGCTCCAACAGCCAGAGGCGCACTGAGGGCAAACAAATTACCTGTAATTATAATAGCGGGATGAATTCGTCGATATCGACCGAGATACCCCTCTTATCGGGGTGCAGTCCTTTACGGAGCCGTCTCAAATTTCTGAAACCTGTCTCCGTGGGGGGCCCGCACTTACGGGACAAACCCAGGACCTTTTCACCGCTAGAATAAAACTTGCACGACATGCACAAGTACAGGTGGCCCTTGTCACTGCAAGGGAAGGCAATGACTCGATGGCCTAATCTCTCCAACTGCCCCTGGTCCAAACGGGATTGCCCAGGGCACGTTCCTCCCAGCAGCTTAGCCTTCGCACGGGAACCGCGAAGGCAAACACGACACCGCCAGGAGGAACCTTGTTGGGACCAGTCGTGGACGAGCTCTAAAAGAGGAGCCTTCGCGTCGAGCGGCGGAGGGCAGCGCAACAGACCTCGAAACTCCAACTTCGGCCAAAGTGGCAAGAGCTCCGCTCCCGCAAGCAAGATCGCCCTTGATACTAGAATATGATGATCGAGGGCCTCCTGCTCCGTTGGGGACATGGAAGGGTGCTGCTTTGCACCCTCCTTCGCGTAGACGTCAGCGAAGAAGTTCCCTCTTCGCACGAATCTCTCATGCGAGGAGAGCCCTTCCTCGTCAGCATCTTTGTGGGCCTCAACCTTATCTAAGGAGACTAGGTTGGTGCCAAAGTAGTGCCGAGCTTGAATGATCTGGCCAGCATACTGACGCCTGGCGCTGACGCCGTCGGCAGCTCCTAGATTCATTAAATGAACCACATTAGCACAATCAGAATAACACAGGGCAGGGCCTTCGGTTTGCACAGCGGTCCAGGCCAGGGCCCCAAACTCGGCACCCTGGGGCGTCTGAGGCCACGGGGCCCACAGAGGACCTTTCAAAACCCCGAGGCGCTCACCCGAACTCGAAACCATGACAACAGCCCAGCCAGCCCTAGAGAGTTCACGCACTACATGACGATGGCACGAGCCATCCATAAAGAGTGCCCCCAGAGCCCCTCGGAGGGAGGAATAGAGGGAGCAGCAGCAAGGTCCCCAGGGTCAGGAAGAACATCAACAAACCATTCCAGGCTAGTACCTCCTTCAGTGAGTGGCGGTGGGGCATAGTCTCCCGGATGTTTGAAGGCACCATATAAGTACAGACACATGTCAACATGATCTGCACCTAGCTCCAACGCTTCATTCTGAATACTTTTGTCAAGCACCGCTTCCCTCACAGACTGCACAGACGGGCACACGAAGAGCCTGTGGAAGAGGGTGTCGCGGTCCTTGCCGCACAACGCGCACTTGCCAGAAAAGTCATACCCTGCCGCTGCCACATCGCTTGCCGTCCAGCAAGCTCTCGTGGCCTGAGCTCGGATCCAACCTTTGGTTTTGCTGGAAACCTTCCTGGAAGACATCAGCTGTTTGACCGCGCCCCAGCAAAGCCTGAAACCACAACCGCATTTATCCCCCGACTCCCTTTCCAGACCCCGAAGATGAGCTTCCTTACAGTAAAGCTTGACAAGCTTCGGGGACGACAGGGTCAAGGAGATTTCGCGGCCAAAGTCGTCAACAAAGGTGCAAAAATTGGGCATGGTCCAGCCCAGCCTGTACAAGGTCATACGCAGGGCAGAAATCGGCCCAGCCACTTTGGACCAAGAGTGGTCATCCGACGCAAAGACAGCGCTCCAGCCGTCCCTGAGTTCGGCCCAGCTCAACGTCCAGGGAAACCCATGAGCGTGCAGGGCCCAGACCTCCTTGGCCCAGCGGATGACAGGCGCGCAACAGCCCCTCCACGTAGGGTCATCCGAGAGAAGACACAAGACACTGAGGGACCTGCCCTGGGCTCTGGGTTTAACCGTCGACATGGCCATCCTTCTGAGATTAAGAAGCTTTCTGTCCGAAATCCCAAACAAGTCAGAGCCGCACACGGCTCCCGCCATCGGTCCCGCCGCGAAGACCTTCAAGCACTTGCGGCCCAGGACCTGCTGGAGGCCCTTCAGCTTTTTGGTCTTCCTCAGCGCAGCCGCAGCTCTGGATTTCAATTTGGCCGAGCGCCCTTTGGAGCGAACAGGTCTGCCCGCAGTGAAATCAGAGCCCAGATTGGTAACCCGAGAGCAGGCTGGTCCAACAAGGGGCCCCAGGGTCTCCGTGAGCTTTCTGGAAACATCAGGGGAGTTGCTGATCATCCCCACTTTGTCCATGGCCAGCTTGCACTCGAGCGTCGCCGTGATGGCTCGGTGGAGCGCCCTGGCTCCCGCCGTGAGGCTGGCAACTACAACCTTAGCAGGTCCCGTGCAGCTGAGACTAATGTCATCGACGTAGGCGTCGAAGTCGGTCGTAGCTCCTGGGCCCTTGGGAATCGAAACGAGGGCCTCATCGAAAGCCTGCATGGCAAAAACACGAATGAGACTGGTCGCAAAAGAACAACCCGCCACAAGACCTTTGGAAACGAAATACGGGCCCTGGATGATACCCCCGAGGGCCAGAAAGCGAGCACACGAATACGCCCTGATGGCCAGTCTCGCCAGAGGCAACGGGAAATGAAAGTGCACGCACTGCTGCCAAAGGTACCTCAGATCAATGCGCTCATAGTACTTCCTGAGATCCCAGAAAATGGAAGCCGACACTTCTCTCTTGCGAGTGACCGCCTCGGCCCTGAAAGCCTGCCTCCAAACAACATCCCCCGCTCCCCATGTTGGCCCCAGCAGCCCAGTACTTTCTGGGGTAGGTGAGCTCCCACTGGAGAGCCTCCTGACGACGGGCGCGACCCCAAAGGCGGTACAGGCTCGGGAAGACCCCAATGGGTCTGAACCCACCCGTCGGCTTGGCCAACAAGGCCATCAGCACCCACGAGAGCTGCTTGGGCAGCTCGCCAGTGGCTTCCCAAACAGCAAACCACAGGGCCAGGGCATGCAAAGCCTCAACGGGGAGAAGGCTAAAATGCCGACAGTGGAATCCATCAACGCTCACCGCAGAGGAGGTGCGATACTTTTTTGGAAAAGACCACGGAGCTCGGCAGGCTCTAAAATTCGCCCATGGGGCAAAAGGTCATGGCCCACACCAATGCCTTTGCCTGGGCCCCAAATAGACGCAAACTTGTCGCCTTCGGCCTGCAGTAAAGACACTGGGTCGCAAACTATGGTACCACATCTGGCTAAGGTGGTGGAGGGCTTCCAGGGTTCAGGGTCTTTGGTGGCCCTCTGAGCGTTGCGACCACCAGCCTCAATGCCCGTACGCACCCACTCTTGCCACTCTAGCCGCGAGGCATTCGCAGCGGTGACCTTAGCAGCGGCGTCGGCTTGAGCTACCTGATCGATCAGGTCGTCCAGATCAGAGCCGAGCTCAGGATCCAGCACAGGAGAAAAGGCGCATCTAGCTAGGGCCGCACTGGCCTTGAAGAGCGAGTGGAACTCAGAGCTCTCCTGCACCGCCACGGCCGACGGAGGCTGGAGGATCGAGTTGAGCACCTGTCGTCCAGCCTCCTGCAAGACCGAATCCGAGCGATAGCACCTAACTGCACGAAGCTGATTACACAGCCAGGAGATAGACCGTAAACCAGGATCTTTTTCACGCCCCGCTGGGCGGAGCACCGACTTCCAGAAAACCTGGGGCCGCTTGCCCCTAGTCCCCGAAACCTTGAGATCGGCCCCCAGGAAGTTGGCAAGGTCTTGTTCCGCAGCATCAGCCCAAAACTTGTATCCAATGCCCAAAAGCCTGCGCGCTTTTTCCCCATCCCCGTTAGTGACCGCCCCAAACGCTTCTTCGGCCAAACCAAGCGCAGCACTCCAGTCGCCAGACTTGGGCGAAGGGCCAACAGGAGGGAGCACAGGCAACGGAGGGGGTTGGCGGAAGGCAAGAGCCTTGAGATCGCCCAGGGAGCTGTGAAAACGAAGCGACACTGGGCGATGTGGAGTGATGCTGGAGTCACCTTCAACATAGACACTCTTGAGGCAGAGGCTGAGAGCCTCCGACACAACAAAAAAAAACAAAACGATCAGGAGGGCCCCTGCTGGGGAAGTGGGTGTGACCTTCAGGAACAATCGTACTGGCCCTAAGCTTTTTGCCAAACTCGGAAGCTTCAATGATCTCGGGACCCATGTTCCAATCCGCCCCCACGATAAACTCACAACCCACGGAATCTAAAAATTCCCCGACAACCCTCAACGTTTCTCTATTGGAATCCGAGAGACCTTCACTGTGGACAAGGTAGAGGCTGCAGACACAAAACGGAGCACACCCTGGAACGTGAACCATGGTGGCGATAGCTCGACCAGGAACGAGAACAGCATTCCCAGCAGCTTCGAAAAGCCCAAGGCCATCTCGAACACAGACGCAAACTCCCGAAGATACGCCTCCTCCCTCTCCAAGCAGGCCTGACGCCCACAGCGTTTTCCATCCCAGAAACTTGGACGACTTCGAAGCTTGGTCCAGAGCACAGGGATCTTTAAGCCGATGTTCCTGAGCAATAACCACATGCGAACTAGCCGAGGATAGAAAGTTCTTGAGAGTGCCCCAGGAGTTGGCGTTCACTGCAGTCACGAGAAGACCCTCGTC